AATAGAATAGAATAGAATAATATAATATAATATAGAATATACAATACTTTGTGTGGGCGCAAATACACGCATCCTCTTTGTCGCTGGCTCTCTCTCTCTCTCTCCCTCCCTCTCACTTCTCTCTCTGTCTCTCTCTCTGTCGCTCTCTCTTTCCCGTTCTCTTTCTCTTTATGTGTGTGTGTGTGTGTCTCTGTGTGTCCGTGTGCGCGCGTGCGCGCGCGCGTGTTTGTGCTTGTGCTCGTGCCTGTTCTGCTTATGTTTAAGAAAGCATCTGCGTCTACTTTTGTGGTGGTTGTTTGTGTTGTTGTTTGTGTTGCTGTCGGTGCTTTTGTTGGTGTTGAGGTTGCTGTTACTATTATTGTTATTGCTCTTGTTCTTACTCTCTGTTCCTGTTCCTGCTCTCGGTGTTGCTCTTGTTATTGTTCGTGTTCGTGTTTGTTTTCGGTGTTTGTGCTCTTGTCCTTGTTCTTGTCCTTGTTCTGGTGCTGGTCCTCCGCCTGGTCCTCGTCCTGGTCATCGTCCTTGTCCTTGTCCCTCTTCTGTTGTTGCTGCTACCGCTGCCACTGCCGCTCCCAGTGCCGGTGCCGCTGCGGCTGAACTGCCAGTGCCGCTGCCGCTGCCGGTGCCGCTGCCGCTGCCGCTGCCGATTTTGCTGGCGCAGAAATTGACCCAATGCCTACATTAAAAATGGCCTGCGCCGACGGACCGCCATAAGCCCTGCTTTCGTTGGGCGCGTTACCCATTCCGTTCGCTGTTGTCGTCCTCAAACCTACACGTAGTCAAATTCTGGAAGATGATCCCAAGGATGCAGGTGCTGGAGCAGCTCAGCAGACTGTGCCAGTGGGAAGCCCTCAACTCCCAAGCCCCGAGCACATGGAATTGAAAGCTCACTGGCCTCTGCTGATGCTGTGGCGAGGTTCCATTTCGCCGCCTTTTGCACCGTCTACATACATGCGCTTGGGTTTCAACTTTCTGATGTGGACGAACTCCCGAAGTGAGAGCACCAGTTGGTGGGATTGAACTGGACTGGAGCGCGGATCTCGACAAACAGCACAATCAGTCAGCATAGCGGACCTACAGAAGGTCTTCATGCTCAAACGAAGCCCTGAATCCCAACACTGCGTCCCACTGACTTCATGTCGAACTGAAACTTCATTCAAAAGCCTACGCAAATTCTCACCTGGCCAAATACATCCCTTCAACAGGTCACAAACCCAAGGTCGCCACAGCATGCAAGTCGGACCAAATGCAACCTGAGACGCCAAACACCAAAACCTGCATGGCTCAATAAAACACGTTGGGAACCGGCCTCACACCACAGCCCTCAATCCTGGACATAACAAAGCCAAGCACACTGGTTCGTGAATCCCACGTGCAGGAGGCGTTAATGCATTTCCACTCTAGACCAGGCTACTCCTGGCAAGAGATCAGCCATTAACACTTCTCTGTCTGTATTATGCTAGTGCGTCAGTGCGAGCAGGACCCGACCCGGCGCCTCGAGCCGCTTGCACAGCGAGGCCTTCTCCCGGCGGAGGACCGCCAGGCGCTCAGCGGCTCGCTGCCGCGCGGCGCCCTCCTGCACTCTTAAATTTTCACTGCCTCGAGTCAAGCTAGAAAGCGACGTTGAGGGCAGGCTTGTGCCGACTCTGACCTACTTGCAGCGCGCATTACGGAGATGTTTCAAAACTAGCCGAATACTAAGAGGCACTCGGGTTCTTGAGACGCTGCCACACCCCCTAGCTCCAAAGAACGCACAAGCAGGGCGACCTGGGTTGGCAAAGCTTCCAGGCTTAGTGTTCGCTGTTGCTGTTGCTGATGCTGATGATGATGATGATGGTGGTGGTGATGATGATGATGACATGCGAACTCGGAAGAAGCATCAACGTTATAAGATTAGTGCCGGCGAAGACCACAAACGACGTACAGATATACAGGAGAGACCTGCTACAATGAAGGTTTGTTAAAACATTCAAGAATGCACCTGAAGCCAGTAAACTGTTTTTCTCTCAGACAAATGTCGGCCCATTACTGCAGGTTCAAGTCGCTTCAAAATTTGAGCCACTTCCGTTTCAAAACCGGTTCTGCCACTTGGAAGCCAAATTAAAGAATTTTCGGCACGATTTTCGGATTTCGATTCGCACACTCGCTGAAGGCAGGCACGGGTTCCAGACAAGTCCGAAACCAGAGCATCTCACTACTACATTTTCGGGTTTAGGGACGGCGTTGAGCTTTAGATTTGTGGAAGCCAAGGCTAAATGCGTTTAGCAGGCCTTGGAAAATGCACGTAGGCTTGGTCGGAGGCTTCGGGAGCTCAATGAATTCGTCGGGAGGGGCCAAAGGCATCAGCAAAGCTGAAACAGCTCTAAATGCGTTTTCCAAGCTTTGAAAAATGCATTTTGGAGCGTCGAAACCAAATAAAAGCATTTTCGGTGCGATTTTTGGGTGCAGGGACGGCATTGAGCTCCGGATGGAGTGAAACCATGGCCAGATTCGTTTAGAAAGCTGAAATAGCTTTGAACACCTTTTCCAAGCCTTCAAAAATGCATTTGGGGGGGGCCAAACTAAAGCACTTTCAATATGATTTTCGGGTTTAGGTGGAAAATGCATTTAGGCTTGGTCGGTGGCTTCGAGAGCTCAATTAACGCCTCGGGAGTGGGCCAAGGGCACCAGCAAGGCTGAAACAGCTCTGAATGCGCGTTGAAAAATGCATTTAGGAGCCCTGAAAACCAAATACAACACGTTCATTGAGAATTTCGTGGTGCAGGGGCGGACGGCATTGAGCTCCAGATTTGTTTCAAGCAGGGCCAAATGCATTAAGCAGCCTTGGAATTGGTCGCAAATGGTCGGAAGCTTCAGGATCTCGATTTGGACTCAAAACCCGGAGCCAGAAATACCAGCAAAGCTGAAACAACTCTAAAATACGTTTTGCAAGCCTTGAAAAATGCATTTTTTGGTACTGGAAACCACGGTTTTCCGGCTTAGGGACTGCATTGAGTTGCAGATTTATTGCAACGGAAGCCCAATGCGTTCAGCATGAGGCTCGCTGCCGAACCTCTGCCCCCCCAACCCGCTCCGAACCTGCCCGGAACCCGGAACCCGCTCCGAAACCTGCCTTGAACCCCCCGAACGGAACCTGCCCCAGGCCTTGCCTCAACGCGTTGGGGAATTATAAACACAGATCGGGATAATCGCTTTTGGCTGTGCTAAGAAAATCTCCAGCAGCCCGAACCACGATTTCTTCTTTTCTGAGCCGAAAAGCATGTAATTGCGTCCTACAATGTCTTACAAATCTGCGGGCCCCCAGCTCCAGAGCCGCGTGCCACTCCAAACGAGCGGGCCCCTAGCTCCAGAGCCGCATGCTACGGAGCGTCCCCTTTTCTTCTGAGGAGGGAAAAGAACAACATGATGAGAAGAATGCTCATGACAGCAATAAAATAAGTTCCCATGGCAACAATGCTCATCAAAGTCCTGTATTCATAGCATTAAGTCAACGCATCTAAAGCCCCGTAGACGGGCGCTCCTCTGCCAGCTGCTTCCCGGCGAGCTCTGTTTGCCTCCACTCTTCGGCGACTTCGCCCTGGCAACGTATTGCCAAGTCAGGGGAAAAGATCCCGCACGCAAGAAGCTTGGGTCATGTGCTGGTGTTACATGCTTTCATTCTCCCCATTGCTCCGTCAGGTTTCGGTGGCAGAGGGTGAGCTTCGTGGTAAACTCTGTCTTCAATCTCAGACCACTGCCCACAAGAGCGCTGAGTAAGCCCGAGCCCCGGACCTGCGACACGAACAGAAACATTCTGAAGAAAAACCGACATTCAGAAGATAAGCACGAAATAAGAAGATCATAACAAGCAGCGCAACCCAGATTAGCACCACTATGAAAGCCCAAGCACTTGTAGCGATTCTTCACCCTGGTCTGACTATCTGTTATTTCAAAGAGCAGAAACTGTGCTCGGCGGGGCTATGAGGGGGACCCCAAGGCCAAGACCCAGCCAGCCAGGCAGCCAAAATGCGCTGCCCCGTCCTCCAGCGCATGTTGAAAGCTGCTTGCTAGGAAGCTACCAGGAAGGCCCAAGTGAGCGTCCGCCGGTCTTGCCTCCACTTCTTCCTATGAGGTTTCGGTCGTCATCATCGTCGTCGATCCTCGTCTTCGTTTTCGTATCGTCCTACGGCATACCTTCTAGTATCATCATCGCCGTCCTAGTGATATTACAGAGACTCTCTGCGCTGAAGTGTACTCTTCTTCGGCACCCTAAACCCTGAACCGTATAACTCTAAGCTTCCCGAAACGTCTCGAAGACGAAAACGACGATACGAAAACGAAGACGAGGATCGACGACGACGATGACGACCGAAACCTCATAGGAAGAAGTGGAGGCAAGACCGGCGGACGCTCACTTGGGCCTTCCTGGTAGCTTCCTAGCAAGCAGCTTTCAACATGCGCTGGAGGACGGGGCAGCGCATTTTGGCTGCCTGGCTGGCTGGGTCTTGGCCTTGGGGTCTACCTGGCAAGCAGTGTCTCAAAGAGCCGGGGTATGTGGGAGGTCGACAAGATCGCATTTGAACGTCCTCAACCTCCTGCCGCACCCCTTTCGGTCTTGATGGTTCTCCGGGTTGTTTTGGGGTTCCTGGCTTGACCTTGTTTTTCAAAGAGCAGAAACTGTGCTCGCGAACCAAGACACAATTATACAAGTGCATACGGAGAGGTACAAAAAACTGGACATAGTGAAGACCACAAAGCGCCGTATTTCTGGGCGAAAGTTGGACAGTACCAAGGAATTACCTCGAGAGGCCGTAGTCGTCGGGTGAAATGTTTAAACGGCAGTAGTCCAGCAGCCGCATGAGCTTTGCCTTGTTGCAAATGGCCAAGATTACAATGTCGAATGCAACTGCTCCATGTCCGCAGATGGTAATGTATGCATCTATATGCGATTTCCAGGCACCAGTCAGTTCGACTATCCATACCAATGCGCAAGCCAGCACATCACCTAACAACGACAACGGCCCAATACCGTGGACACCGCTAGGATCCTAGCCTCAGCCCCTTCACGAAACCTGACGTAATGCTGATGATACAATGACTAGAAGCACTTGCAAAGATGAAAAAGACTGTCCCTGCCGTCATCATCACCATGACCATCACTACCACCACGGCTACGATCGCCAGCACCAATCTTCTTCTCCTAGTCGTAGGTAGTCACAAAAGCAAGTCCGAACATGACCAACACGATCACTAAGATCATTCCCATCATCGTCTTCATCAACAGCAGCAACAGCAGCATCGCAATCACCACCATCAACGAACAAGAGAAAGAAGGTACCCCTGTGTCAGGCACCTTCACAGCATCCACGGCCTCTCGGTGACGCTGCAGTGCCTCTTTGGCATTACCTGAAAACCCGGAAGTCAATTCGGGGCCGTTCAGCTTTGTCGACTTGGGCCTGGGGTTCTCAGGGCGTTCGCGTCAAAAATCCGTGCTTCCATTCTAGAGCCTTTACTGGGCGCTCGATCCTCGAGTCTTGAAAAGGCTCTCCTCTAACCATTCTAACCTAAGGCGACGTCGCAATCGAGGCAAATCTGGAACCCACAACCCACATCGAAACCTCGACGTGCCGGATGCAGGCGGGGAGCTTGCTGTGGTTGTGCGAGCTTGGAGCTGCACCTTCTGCTCCACATGTCAAATTAACGGAATCTCCAGCAACCTCCTCTGCTGCTACCGTGATAACTACTGCTGCTGCTGCTGCTGCTCCTCCTCCTCCTACTACGACGGCGACTATAAGCATGACCAGCTTGATCCTGCGACCCTTTCCGACTGATGTCTTCAAATTCGGGGGTCGACTTATCGTTCCCGGAAGTTTCGCCATAGCTCTGTGAACCGATGCCAAGCCAAACCGAACCAAGCCAAACCAAGCCGCGCCAATTGAGAATCAGAACACCTCTACCCAACGAACACCATCTGCAGCAGTACAACCCTACCTGGCGGAAACGCTCTATCTAGCAGAAAAGCCGCATCTGACATAAATCCCTCTCAAGAAGGTCCCGTAAGCTGGCGCACACTCATGACAGCAGAATACAAGATGCCGATGCTAGTACTAATACTACTGCTAACGCTACTACTGCTGCTGCTGCTACTTCTTAGTAGTGCGATCACAACAACCACTGCCAATACACACCTGCGCACAACAGTGGCACTGCTATCACCAAGAGAACTGCTACTACTGCCACCACTGCCACCGCCACCACCACCGCCGCCGCCACTACCGAAATCATCGCACCAGCAGCACCAGCACGATCCCGATGACAACGACTAAGATAAACTGACAGACCACAAAGCCCACAAAGACGACGACGGCCACTTCGATCATAAAGACGACAAGGGCCACAAAGACAAAGAATAGATGTCGTCACCGACCACGACAACTGCGATGACTGATGCCACCACTGCTTCTACTATTGCTACGACGACGACTTCCAATGCTAAAAGAACGACGACTACTACTGCTGCTGCTGCCGCTGCTGCAGCGGCTGCTGCTTGTAGCGCATTTCCTACTACTCGTACCGGTACTAGTAGTGGTACGAGCACTACCACTAGCACTAGTACTCCTACTACTACTATATGAATGTTATTCCCATGACCAATGACATTCCTACTACTTATCCTAGCACAGTTGTTGTCCATGTCGCGGGAATAACTTGACTGACGTGTCTGTGAGTTGCACTATGGGTTGTCAGTTGTCATATATGCCAATGTATTCAACCGTCGAGTTCACGGCATGACTGATACCTGTAGCAAACACCATGTCAATTGCTGCTACTACTGACCCTACTACCTTCTTCCCGATGACTGCCATGCTGTGGACGAGCATCTGCATTTTCTTATCATCATCGTCATCATCCTGACTAGGGACCCTACAGTAGCCCTGTCTTTCCGATTCGGGCGCCGTTTCCTAGGTCGTGACAAGCGCTGTGCCAGAGACGATCTAAAATAACGTAAAGCCACTGAAAGTCTTTGACAGACTCGTGTACCAAAAAGCCAGGCCTCCAGCTCCGAACGCTTGGTCTGGAGGCTGGTGAGGCGGCTGGCCTTGGCAGGGGAGAGCAAAAAGCAACCTCGCCCTGAGGGTTCGTCAAGGGAGGTCCAGCGGTCTCGCGAAGCGCTGCGGATTTCTGCCTGGCGCGTTCAGCTGAAATACTGGGGCGCCAGCGATCCACTCCCTCGCCCTCGTGTCCATCTCCAGCGACATTGTGGTCAGTCGCTGCACTGCTAACGGCTGTCAAGCTGAGAGGTTGAAGCGATGGTCTTGAGACTCGTGCAGGAAAGGGCTAACTGCGTATTACACTTTGCCCGACTTTCGCAAAGCTGCCTTCCTGGCTTAAACGGTTTTGAATGCTACACACAGGAATACGCGAAGTCAGACCTGCACACAGCATTCTCGGCTCATGGCTGTTGCCAAGCAAGCAAGGTCACTGTAAGTGAGGGTCATCGCACACACAAAGGAATTCTCCGAAACAGCAGGAGGAGATCGTCCCGGCAGCGGAACGATCGCTGTAGAGTCTCTGCCATGCCTGGCCGCCTGGCTTACAGAAACACTGCATCTGAAAGATGCCCTTGACAGTGCCCGCAAACTACCGAGACTGAATTGCAGCACACCATCCCAGAGCCTTTGAGGTGTCATCATGAACAGCAACAACAGCAACAACAACAACATAGCGTCGATCAGTCTCATCATCGGCGTCATGACGAGCACGACACACACACACACACACGCACCCACTGCTCATTTTCTCCTTCGCGGGATCAGAGCCCTCCTCGCTGAGGGAACGCTGCGAGGACATGCAGCATGGAAACGGAAAACCGCACAGACTCGGTGCTTGGCACAGCCAGCCTGACAGCTCCATGCGCGTGGAATGGGACGGGGAGGGGGCGGAGGGCGTCCTGTTCAGGCAGGCCCGTGGGATCAGGGGATGTCTGGCCGTACAGAGCCCCAGAAGAGAAGCCATTTCTATCACCACAGAAACCCCTCGAAGAGTCGAGCGGCGGGTGATACTACAGCCTTCGTGGACTGCGTCATCTGTGCAACAGCAAAAAAACGCGATGCCTGATAACGAGAGCTTCCCGTGTGCGGCAACAAACCCTTTGGGTCGGCACAGAGAGCCCGAATAAAGCAAATCTTCGTAGTTCATTAAGCATTCAGCCTCCGGAAGCGCAACCAACAAGACTCCGACTTAAGTATCTTCACTTTCATCAAATACTACTACGGTCATTACGATGGCTTTCATTATTGCCGCCATGCCCCTCTTGACACCATTACTGTTAGCGCGACACTTGCTGTTGCTTCTGCGAGTCTGACTGTGATTGGTATTCTTCCTGCTAGCAGTATTGTTGCTAGATCGCCTCCATTACAGCCGATACTGCCTTCACCACCATGACTATGCTGTATTCCTGGAGTTCCCGGCATTCCGATTTGTGTTGGTAGTACGACTGATCCCAGTATGTCAACGAAATCTGTTTATGAGAGTGTCTTGAAGGTTCCGGTGAATCTGCCGAAGCCCAGTCAGGTACTACAATCATGGCCAATGTCAGTGACAGCAATAAACTCAGACATGTATCTAGCTATCTAGCTATCTGTATACAGATACAACATACACCTACATACATACATACATACATACATACATACATGCATACATACATACATACATACATACATACATACATCCATGCATGCATTGCATTGCATTGCATTGCATTGCATTGCATTGCATTGCATTACATTACATTACACTACATTACATTGCGTTACATTAAGACATACATGCATGCATGCATGCGTGCATGCATACATGCATACATCTTCCGTACATCTTACATACATACATACATACATAATTACACTGTCATGCAAATGTGAACTGCGAAACCTATTTGTTCCGGCAGATACCAGCATCCCTACGAACACACCTGGTTTTCGATAAACAGTAAAGGTATTGCAGCATGACATCGGCAATTGCCGGGTATAGAGAGCTGCCTCTATGGCTATGTTATCCACTGCGCGCTTACATTTGACTCTTCCAGTAGTAATTTAAGAGGGTGGAACGCCCTGGGGGCC